GGAGCTGACAGCCCCGTGTGCCCACGCGAGCCGGGCGCCCTCCTCGTGCCCGAGTGCCGCTCGCTCGGGCCGCGCTTGGTGTTTGTGGCCCTGCAGGGTGGCTCTGGGGCGCTGCGGGCGCCTCTGCACCGCGCCGGGGCTCCCACGCGCCCRGGGTCGCGCAGTTTTGCTGCGGCTTTACCAGGAGAAGTGTCTTTGTGGAACGGCGTTGCGCTCTTGATAAAGCTTGGAGGGTTTCCAGTGCTCCGGCAGCCTTGTGTCCACACAGCCAGGGGGCTGGCATGAGGAGAAGGCGCGGGAATGACCCAATTCCCTATTTCACCAGAGCTGGGGAATTTGGGGGTAGATGTAGAACCGGGTTTGTGCGGGCTGTCCTGTAAATGGCAGCCCGGAAATGGGGACCCGCGTGTTGCGGTGGTTCCGCAGCTGGAGTTGGTGAAATCTCCTCAGGCTTTAAGAGGAAATTGCATTGCATTAAGAGGAAAGTGCTGCTGCCCGTGTTTGAGGTATTACACAGGGACATAGAGCATATATGTGTGTGTATGTATATATCATATATCACAGGGTCATATAGCCAGCTTAAAAATGTTGATCCTTGTCTCTGCTCAGTGCCGAGTGATGCTGCAAATATCTTTTTATTTTCAAAAAATACAATGCAATTCTTTGCTTGACTAAGGAGCGATAGAGATGGAGAAGCACTTTTTAAAGTTGCTTTTGCTGCTTTGTGACAGAAAACCAGTGTCCAGATCAGACTGACAATGATACATCAGTTTGTGGGGTTTTTTTAAAATACAAATCTAATTTCGCAATAATAGCATGATTTTTTCACTGAGAATTTAAGTACCACCGAATCTGACTAGGTCAAGTAGGCTGTATAAGTTCATACAGGAAACTGAAGTCACCCCCTGTCCCAAATGCTTTAACACTTCTGATTCCTGTAAACTCCTAAGAYTGCAATATTGTTTTCTTAGCTTTTGCTAAGTACAAATTACAAAGTAGAAAAGCTTCTTTAATGCTGCTAGCAGCCTTAGTAGAGATGAGCAGAGTCATAAAATTTCTATTTCTCCCTGCACAAGAGTGCATGATGCTAACGCAGAGAGAATTTGGCAGGTCAGTATTTTGTAGTGTAGCTTTCCCTTTAAGATTGCGTTTCCTTTCTGAGCTGAAATACCCTCTCATAATTTTGTAATCTTCATAAAGGGGTACAGGGAGATGACGATGTTTAATTGTAGTTGGGAAGAATAACAGGAACTGAGGGAACTTCAGGGACGGTCTCAATCCTTAGTAGTAACAGCAGAGGGCTGGATTTATGAGGAGATCAACAAAAGAGCCTCAAATTTTGAAAAAAAAAAAGCAAGTTATTGGGATGCATGAGAAACATTAAAGCAGTGGGRTGTTGTTTCAGCCCTTGTCACCTTGCCTGTGACACTTAATAGCTGACATAGATATGCAGGGAAAATTGCTGTTGAAGTGTGGAAAATCTTGCTCATGAAGACAGCGTGGAAATCAGACCATTTTGTAAGGAGACAACTGATCTAAAGAGGGCACTTGATAAAGCTATGCAAATAGCAGCATAAAGTGGGAGGGCTGATTCTTGTTATTTAAAAAAAATAAAAAGAGGGGGGAGGAAAAAGAGAAAGCTGGTGTCTTCAAAGCAACCGAAGGACAAGGTTGTGTACATCTGCCTAGGGAACGCTTTGTCAGAGTCGAAAAGAACTCTGTTTAAAAGGTTATTTAAAACATCCTTAGTTAAATGGTATGGGTTATATGAATMTATGTGTTGAAGAGAAATCCATGAACTTTGATATTCTTTTAGGTATAATTATCCTCTATATGTTAAAAAATAAAAGTGTTATTTTTAATATTATATACATTGTTTTGCAATATGTCTTGTTGCCCACTTCTGGATACAGGCAGAGTACAGGAACACTGTTGCGTACCAAAACAGCCAAATTGGTCTTCTGTACATGTCCTGATACCTAACCTATGTAGATCATATATTGGAGACTGATAAGGGCTATAGCAGTGACTATAAACTAGCCATTCCACTGACTTGTTTTTCTGCTTTTTATGCTGTCTCTGAAATCTTGCTTAACATCCTTTTCTCATATTTTGCATTTTCTAGTATATAATTCTGCTAAAAGAACCTCACCTCAAACTTTTATTTATTTATTTATTTTAAAAAGAATGAAAGTCAATGCCTCAAAGCAAACAAGTTCTTGAAACACACTAAAACCATTTTAGGTTCACTGTGAATGCTTGCTAAGCTCAAACAAAAGCCATCATTTCCAGGCTGGGTTTTTATATCCATCCGCGAGTGCAGTCAGCACAGAAACAAGTCATTTGCTTCCAAGCCCCATTTTTGATTTGCCTCACATCAGAAGTATTAACTGGAAGGATTGAACTCCTTTTCAGTGATTTGTCGTTGACTTTGCCGTTGAGCTTACCTGTGTCTGGAAAGCTACCTGTGTAATGCACGTGCCGAGAGACACCCAGCTGAGGTGTCACCATTAATTCCTTCAAGAGTGTAGCGCAGTTTTTAATTCCTAGTTTTTAAGTGTAACTCCTTTTGCTTAACTGATGTGAAGCTCTTCCCCCGAGCAGACCCCTTGGCCACTTGTAGCCAGGTGGGCCTGGCTTGGAGATCTCCATGTTCTGTGTGTGGACCCCCCTCCTCATCTTGGTGAGACTCGCACAGAACTTGAAACTGAGAGAAGGCCCAAAAGACACTGAAAATATGAAGGTAGAGATGAAGGTAAAGCCGTACACGTGCTGTGAGCTGCAGAGGCACTTGCTTCTGTGAGTTGAAGTGTGATGGAGCCTTTCTGTTTGTGAGAAGAGGAATTGCGTTGTTCCTGCGGCTCCTCTCCTGCCTTGGGAGCTGGTGTGTTTGCTTCTTGCCAATCGGTTGGTGAGAATTTGAATGTGCCACAGAGAGACGGGAACGGGAGAAATACGATCTGTGCTGCTGTGTTTGCCTGAAACCAAGTTAAAAGGAAGTACTTACGCTAGGAAAAAAGGAAATACTCTTAATAGGCCCTAGCCATAGATGGTTTTGACACGCTATATGTAATGAGTAGCCGAAGACAAATAATGCTGTCAAAACTGAAATATACATAAGTATATATAAAAACATTTTTTTTCTTCCTGTAAAATTTGTGGGGAAAAAATACACCCAAAACAAAAGAGGAAATGAGCTGCAATGTAACTAGATACACAAAGGATTGTCGTATGCAAATGACAAAATGTTTTCCTCAAATATGATTCAGTTACAGTAATCTTGGAATTTTGCATTTGTAATGGTCACGGGTAAGAAAAACTTATCGGAAAGGTTTTTTGATGTTTGTTTTTATGTTTTTCCTTTTCTTTTTTTTTTGAAGTTCGATGCTGTTCTTTAAATAGCATGACTGCCTAGTGCCCCCTCACAAAGAATAACAGCAGCTCTTAAAGGGGCACTGTCGATTTGTCAGTTTTAGTCTCCTCCTCCTGCTCCCTCCATAATCTCTATTTTTTTCTCTTTTACTTATTTTTTTTCTTTTTGAAAAGTGTGTCCTGATAGATTTTTTTTTTTTTTTTTTTTGGAAAAAATCTTATTCTGGTTTCTGTTTTCTGATTAAGGGATAACTATCTAGAACCTCTTTGGTGAGACACAAAAATATATGTAGAGACACAGACCTGTACCGAGATTTGAGTAAACTTTACCATTTACTTTAACTTTACCCATTGAGGTTCATAAGGCTACTTAAAATATTGTGAAGGCARCAGAAGTAATGAAATGTAGGGCAGGAAGAGACCTGAAGGGGTTATGTTGTCTTCACCTTTAAAAGTCTAACCTGTTTTTTTAACACATATGACTAACGATTCTGCACCTTTAAAGATGCCCAGTTTGTTTTTTTTTTCTGATAGCTAATCCGATCCAGCCTGATTGACAGCAAAAGAGGATGCTCGGCCCTATCCCTAGTAGGCACAAAGAATGATTGACAGCCATCCTCCTTGTATCAGTTTTTAAGCTTAAAGAATATTTTTTCTCCTTTTCTCTGTGTCTCTGCCCCTCTCTCTCTGTATTTAAGCAAGACCATGTTATTCCTCACTGCTTGCAGGTTTTAGGCTCACCTATGGTCAAACGAGTCGACAAAAATGATTAAAAAATTCTGTTACTTTATAGCTGGTAGATACTGCTCATATTAGGCGTCTTTTCCTCTTCTGCCTTTTTCCCTTTCTTCTCTTGCTAATATTCTTGCTATTTCATTTTCTCCTCATTCTAAGGAATGCTGTGCTGRCATAGAAAGGATTATCTGAGCTAGGACCCTCAATTGTCCTTAATCCAGAGTTTCCATTTTAATTTACAAAATGTTATGGTTGCATCTCTCCATCTGTGATGAACATCGTCACTTGCCTCAGTGTAACTGAGGCACGTTTGTCAGCTTGGAGCTACAGGGAGCTGGCAAGAAAAGTGTGAATGGTCCGAATTGCTGGCCCTATTGCTAGAAATGAGTGTAAGATACCTGCACTGTACAGTTCTGGGAACACGGACACAGATAAAATATATATATTTTATATATATATACACACACACACATATATATAGGGATGTGTAAATATATCTATCAAATAAAAGTAGCATGCACTGTTCTGCTAGTATTGTGTGATAGTGCCTTGGAAAAGCTATGTTGGACTGATATAGGACAGAATTAGTTTGTCCTGTAGTGTAGTGCATACAGGTAAGAGCCCTGAAGAGTAGGAGTCCTATAGGACTTTGCAAATACAATTACTCTGAATGGGGACATGTTTCCAAAGTGCTGAGCTGTCAGGTCACGGATGTGCAGTGTATGGTGTGTTTTAACACAGTTCGGTGAATAGCTACAATATCTGCTTCATCTAGAAACTTTTTTAACAAACCAATGTTTTTTTTTCTGATACCTGTCAAAAAAATGTCAGCAKTTGACTAATAGTCTTCCTTCTTGATCCCAAAGTAACAACTGTAAGTAAGCAATAACAACATGGTAATTTTAGCATTAATTGAAAATGCTGGGAAGGAAAGGAACCAATATTTGCTAATGGAAAACAAGGAGAAGAATCTGTAGGAAAAAAAATAGTTTAATGCTTTCTGTAAGAGCAGTACGAACAGTCAAGGAATAAAAACTATTTAGAGAAGTGCTTGACATTAATTTTTTACCTCTCCCATCTTTTCATTTTGTGAGCTAAGAAAGGCACTCCAAATCTGAARCTTGCTCAAGTTTCAACACGTTTTTGTGATCTCAAGGCATTTTATATTTGAACAGTTCTAGACTCTCCTCTTGCAAATATGTGTGGAAATATGGGGCATATGGGAAGATAATGACACGTATTAAACTCAGTGTGATTATTCAGAGGCATATTTGTTTGAAGTGCTGTTGTTCTTGGTGATTAAAGCGGATGGGGCTGCTACAGTGGTTTGTAGTGAGAAGCAACGTTGGTTTTACAGTAGCAGATTTCCCAAGCCATTCCTAATAGGAATGGTAAATAACCCTGTGTTGTTTTGCCGTGACAGATGTGTGCCTTAAACATACGGCAGCGCTAGTGCTTAACCCCACGTGCTCTGCAACCTGCATGGAAGTAGAGCTGCCCTTGAACCGTGCGCTTGTGGAAGGTGTTTGCAGCTCTGCTGAGACCAAACATACACGTCAGCCAGGACTTACTCTTTTTTTTTGTTTTTCCTCCTTCCTTTTCAGTGATTTTTTTGAACGCACCATTCTGTGCAACAGCCTTGTATGGAGCTGTGCTGTCACAGGGAAACCAGGACTCACGTATCAGGAAGCACTGGAATCGGAGAAGAAAGCCAGGCACAATCTACAGAGTTTTCCAGAGGCGCTCATCATTCCAGTTCTCTACTTGGCCACCCTTACCCATCGCCCACGRCTTCATGAGATCTGTGATGAAATCTTTGCTTATGTCAAGGATCGGTATTTTGTTGGTGAAACAGTGGAAGTAATTAGGAGTAATGGTGCAAGGTAAGGATATTTAARAAGAACTATTTTTGTTTGTTTGTTTTGTTTCACGTGGATGCTTTTTGTGCATACTTTTTAAACCAAAAATCAGGATCATAAACTCCATCAAACACACCAGAAATCATCTGTGGCGTTTTGGCTGGTAGTGCTGCTCCTGCTGCTTGCTGCTTTAGTTAAGAGTAGGTTTCCATTGCTGGGCTTGGTGTATCTTTAGGTTGGTTAAAAGCAGCAGTGGGGACAGCAGTTCTCTCAGCTGCTGACACAGTAGCCTCTCTGTCTGAGGGATGGACTTGCAGAAGAGAATCAGGTCCCTGGTGTGTTCGTGTGAGGAGGGTGTGTGTCGTCGTGATTTTATTTGTTTATTTTAAACCTCATCACAATGTAAAGAACATATTGCACTTTCAGTGGTTAGACATCCTTTAAGGTCAAATGAGGTGTTGTGTAACTGAGAGGTAACTAAATATAGTGTGGAGGGGAAGAGAGGTAAACTGGACRTTTCAGTGCAAGGATCAGAAATGAGATTTAAATAGCAACTAGGGGAAGTGAGGATTTTAAAATATTTTTGAAGTTTTGATGAGGTCAGCCAGAATAAAGTTAGGATTCTTTTTATCTTTCAGGTACTAAGTAGTATCATGAAGAATATTGCTTTCAATGCAGACATAAATTCTCAGAGAATTGAGCATTTATAAAATGTTTGCAATAGATGACTAGCTGGGGTCTTTTTCCCCTCTCTGGGTCTTTGCTTTCTCTTACAGCCATGTATTTTATGTACTGTAAGCACTGATATTGTTGTTTCCTTGAACTGATAAGAGCATTTGGTTAGAGGGTTGATCAGTAAGATTACTCAGCAAAAATTTGGAAGCATCTTGAGCTTTGGAGACGTTCTCGTGTCGCTGGTAAATATGCTCTGTTTTACAACACGTAGCTAGTCGGAGCCTCCAAGCAGCTTCAGCGRGAGGACCTCAGCGGGTCGTTGTGGGGTTTGCAGGCTCCCATGGCTGAGGTCTGAGATGGGGAGAGYGCAGCCTGCTCGGTGGCCACGCAGGACCTGCAGAAGGAGCGTGGAGGCTCCTGCGGAGCCGCCGCTCGCGTTCCGCTGCGGACCACGTGCCGGTTTCCCCTGCCCAGCACGTGGGGCCCAGGCTGTCGGCTTGTGGGCAGCCCCGGGTCCCTGGCCGAGACCTTGTGGGTCCCGGCTGTGGGAGTGGGTGGCCCAAAAGGGTCGTCATAGGCCCAGCTCCAGCTGAGCTGTCCTACAGTGCCCAATCCAGATCTTTGAAAAGCAAATTTTGTTCTGAGTAATGAGAAAAGTCCTGGAAGGATGTGCTGATGCGGGAGATCGTTTGTAAGGAAACCTGCGTGGATGGGTAAGCAMGGTCAGGGCTGAACAGAAGAGCTTTCCATATATTCCCAGGCTTATTCCTTCCAAAAAGTGAAGTCTCAGACTGCAAAGCTGGGACAGGAGAACTTCTGCAGGGCTGCTGCCACCTTTACAGTTATATCCAAAGTCTSTGCCTGTTTTTCATATGTAGACTTAATAAACAGACCCATGTTATCATTAATATGAAARTAGTTTTGCTAATGTAAGAAGGTCTCTCTCTATCAGTAGCCTGTATGTCATGAAGTGCAGGCATAGCTAGCTGTGGATTTTCACTGCTGAATGAAACACCTCTCATTTGTCTTCAATCTTTGAAGAGACTGTCATTTCCCAAACTACTAACACAAAGAATGCTTTAGAGGAACATACATTTTTTTTCAAAAACAACCTCCCTATCTTTCTGCTACTTTTTTCTAAACTGCCAGCCAAAATATTTATGCTTGTGCATCTTARCTTTTCAAAGCTTAAATGAAAACACATATGCAGTAAATATACTTTTCTTGCTTGTTAATCTGATGAAATGCAAAATCCTTTTCACATTTTTGACTGTTACAAATCATTTTCTTAAATTTGCCCAAGCAAAATGGTTTCTGCTTACAATGTAAGCTAAATTTTTGTTCTGATAAAGTTGTGATATGATTCTGTCTAACGAAGATATGTCTAACTTATTTGTTGTATTTATTAGTCTTTAATYCAATCTTCCCAGTTATTTAAAGTTGTGTAGAGATACATATCTAACGATTTTGTGTTCTTGTTCTAGTTTTAGAGCAATACATTAGTCAGCTCTAAACTTATTAAGCCTTTGGGGAGAGCTAGATATGWTTCAAAATGCTGCAAATTCAGATAGAATCTATTTCCTTCAAAAATTAAGCTGCTAGAGATTGTATGTTTTAAACTACATAAGTATAAGATGTCTTATGAAATGAAGCATAATTTTCTGTAGCTGATTGTGTTCCACTGATACTCTAGATGAAAGTATAGCAGAGAGCTGCTTCAGCCCTTTAAAATTAAATCCAGGAAACAGTGCAAATAATGTTTATCTTTATGCTTAGAGATACATAATTAAAGAATATAAAGTGGGGAGAGGTGAGACAGTTACTCTTTTGCCCAATATATAGTTGACTGTGACCTCTGTTTCCCAGGTCTGCCTTGGGGATTAAGCGTACAGCTCATGCTATGTATAGAGCTACAGCTCACTATGTATGAGTAAATAGTGATGTGTGTCTGGGTGCTTTGTGTAGCTTGTCTCTTAGGCTGAACTCTTACTCAGTATACGGTTCCTACAGACAATATAGAAGTTGAGCTGTTCTTTTTGGCTGTGATCAGCTACATTGTCTTCATCTTTTCAAACTGAAGTGGTCATAGTCCATCTAGAATGAAGTAGCATCTTATGAGATCCAGTAGAATTTGGCAGCTCATGAAAAGCCATTTGTGGAGGTGTAATCAGTTGTGCTGCATTTGCATATAAAGCTTTTTGTGCATATAATGTTTGCAGGATTGTTGGCTCTCTGAGCTCCAGGCTTCGCTTAATGGGAAGCCTACAAGAAATCCACACGTAACAAGGGGTGAATTGAGGTTGCTCGAGCAAAACAAGTATTGACTTGTTATTACTCTGAACTTTTCAAATGTAGTACTTTTGTAAGGGGAATGGTTTTGATACACCCTTTTAGACTTCAAGCAAAGTAAACGGAAAGCAACCTAAACATTAGAGGGCTTAGGATTTTGCTTTAATAATGTGTATGTTCTTATGAAGCAGCCTGAGTACCATATGTAAGGGACAGTGTGTCTGGAGAGGGGTAAGAACAGAACTGCTTTGTGTAGAGGTTAGGCAGAGAAAAAGGTTGAGAGTGTTGGGGTGCCTTGGTTGTTGCCCAGTTGTTTTTTCTGGTCTCATGTCCCCCGCAGGTTCCTCTGCTTTCCAGCCTTTTGTTGCCCCCTCAGCTTTGAATTTGGCTGCCTCTGCCTTGGTGCTGCGGGTTGGTAGGAGGAACTTGGAGAGAGCAGGAGGTCTTTTGTCCTTCCTGTTAAGTCACATCTGGTGCCTTTGCAGTCCTTATCACCCAGGAGAGAAATTGCAGAGAACTCCCCCCATAGTCCCATGTTTCTGAAAATGATGCAGGTGATTTGGTAGTCTAGTAGGGGAAGCAAGGAGCCCATTCTGCTTGCTTTTAAGGCCTCAGATGATGCACTCATCAAAAGTGTCCAGTCTTTATTGGTTTATAAATATCATTTTTTTTCTGGCCAAGCTTGTGCTGACTTTTCTCCAAACTGGCAGTTGTGCTTTGCCTTTTATTTTAATATTATTTTTTTAAAGGAAATGTTCAGACTTCGAATTAAAGAATCRTATATTTAGAGTGAAATGTATTGTACAGGGCAAAGAGTTCATTTAAACAGATGTGGGAATTATTCTAGTTTCTGTTGGAAAACATTATAACATTTCATTGCAACCATGACCRGTTAATAAATTAGCAGCTAATGCTGTAGTTCATGTTTTACTGAAATTGGGGAAAAAAACTGTAGACAACACTGACGGGAATTTCTTACTGTTTTTGTATGTCAGAACTGGAAGTTTAAGATCTAGTAACACACTAACCCGTGTTCTCCCTCCCCTCTGCCTGAAGGGCATCTCTTGCAGCCTGTCCCTTTGGTGCTGGCTTAGTGCTCTGTGATCCTGGCAGGATTGTGACTTGGGAAAGTGCTTTGCAAGCTACTAGAGTCTGAAGTCAGTTATTTAAAACTTGGAAGGATATGGAGTGGGAGACCTGCCTGAAAAAGCAGTGGATGCCTCAGACCAACCAGCAACTAATTAAAAACTATGACTACGTAATTCACACAGCTGTAGTATGTTCTCCTCTGCTTGGAAGTCAGCAAGTGTATTCTTTTTTTTTTAGTTTATCAGAAGAAAAATATTTAGCTCATGTGTAAATGACTGCTTGTGACTTAGCACTTGTGTTCTGAGGGGCTGCTCCTACAGGAGCTGGTGGCTTTTCTGGCTGGTGCAGGCCGCTGAGTCCTGCCAGAATGGATCTCTTTGCAGGCTCGCAGTCTGACTGAGCAGCCAAGAAGTAGCTTGGACAGCAACTTCACCAGCCCTTCCTCCTCATTAGGAACAGGGTTACGTGAGGCCTTGCTTCCCTACTGTGGTTTGCACCAAGTTATGCAGGAATGAATAGGGAGCTTGATTAAACATTCAGCCACCTGCAAACTAAAACAGCTGTAGGTTACGTACAGGTAGCGTATAAGAAGAAAAAAATTATATAGAACGTGACAAATATCAAAAGGGAATATATTTTGCCTTTGATTTGACCACTAGATGACACCACTGCAGAAGAACACTGGCCTGGTGTCAGTAAACAAGCAACGTGAGGATGCTTCAAGAGGATGTTGTGTTTTTAGGATCTCTGTTCTGAGTGCTGTGGTATCCACCATTGCCAAACTGTAGGAAATGCAGATAGTTATGGAACTATCTTCCCTGTAAGTGGAATTCTTTATTATTATTATTATTTATTATTAATTCATTACTTGTTTGGCTTGTGTCCTGATGCTTTAGGACGGTTGATAGTGGATTAAACTCTATGTTAGGCCAATTAAAAGATTTGCATACTGTTTTCATCTCTGCAAGTCT